GGTTTGGGGTTTAGGGTTTAAGAATCTTCATCAGTAAGGCCTTGTAGAAGGACTGTGGTGGTGGCATTGGGCCATTGGCCACAAACTCGCTTCAGCCGGGCCGTGCACTGCGGTTGTAGGCAGAAAGTCTTTGAGTTTACCTAGGATTGAAGGTTTAGTTGGGGATGCAAGTAGGTTTCAAAAAAATAGTACATTTCAACCCTAAACCCTATGGTGTCTGAATAAATGTCCCTTCCTCCATCTTGATTGTTACCCCAAACCCTAATCCCTCAACCCTAAATTCCAAACCCTAGGCCCGAAATCAGTTTCTCATTCTAAGCTTGATACCCTAAGCTCAACATCCCTGGGGCCGAAAGCCCGGCTTCCAAATCCCCAAGCACTAGTCCCAAATTCCTGAGTCCCTCAGCCCCAGGCCCAGGCCCCCGGAGCCAGAACGAAGGTCCAAAAAATACAAGCACCAACTAGGGAGTGGGGTGCAGGGGTATGCCTGTCTTAAGACGATTTTGTAAACCCCAACCTGTAAATTAGGGGACAAATACCTGCCGTAATGGAGAATCAAACGGAAGAAATAGAAAGTGAAATGGAAACAGGGTTTACAGAGGTATATAATATCAGCTATAGTCACACTTGTTTCGATCATGCTTTCTCTGCTAAACTGGAATCTCCGTTGCATATCTGACAGTAGACGGAACGGCTCCTAAGAGGCTTCTGATTGCAATCACCTCCCCTAGTGACATCCGGCCTCATTCCAGCTACGTGTAACGGTGTTATACTTGGAGTCGTTGTTATTAAGGGGGGGTTCTCTTCACCCTAAGCGCTTCAAAAGTTGCATGTTTTCCTTTTTTCCGTCCCCCTATACTCTAAACAATTTACCCCAAACCGTAAGAACCCTCAACCCTAAACTCTAAAACCCTAAACCCTATGGACAGCCCTTGACTCCCTCAGAAGAACAGCTCTTTCGGTTTTCCTCCACACTTCTGATCTTCTTCCCATATGAGCTATAGTCTAAACTCCTTAAAGGGGTTTTCATACAAGGATCATATAGGGCTTGTTAAGGGGGATCCTAGGAGTTTAGATTATAGCTCATATACTAAGGCAGATCGTTACCTAGGCCCCAAAAGTAGGCAGGGTATAGGGCCGAAACCTTTAAAAGGAGCCCCAAGTCATGCTCCTACAGACTTTGGGGATTCACGTAGGCAAACGTTAAAGGTAAGGGAGCCAGAATCAGTTTGCTGGTGCAGGAAAACCCTAAGCCTTAATAAAGGGTTTTCAGACCCTACCATCATCCGGGCGGGGCTGTATGACATGGCCATGGGTTCCCCACTGCCTAAACCACTATGGTGCAGTTCACCTGCCCCTTCCAAATACGTAAAAAAAAAACAGGCTTAG